AGAGAGAGAGAGAGAGAGAGAGAGAGAGAGAGAGAGAGAGAGAGAGAGAGATTACCTTTGTACTTCTGCTTTTTATGAAAACAGAAAGCATTTTTCATGTTTGTCTACAGCAGACTTGATTGTAAATATAATAATATGGGGGCTCTCGTGGCCTAGAGGTTAAGGTGTTGGCCTCTCATTCAAAGGTCCCGGGTTCGATTCCGGGTAGCGACCGAAAAAATTTTCTTCTCTAAATTTGTCTCCTCTCCCCTCATTTCCTGCTCTCTAGCCTATGTCTCCTCTTTTTGCCCCCAACTCCTCACCTCCTTTGCCCCTTCCTCTGGTCTCCTGATTCTTTCTGCGGCCTTTCTACTGCTACTCCTCCGCTTCTTCTTACTGCTGTCTGTCAGTCATACCCCTGATCTTATGGTAGAAAAGATCTACACCTAGCCTTCTCGGACAAGGGTGAAAAATGTCGGAGGGCCCGTGTGCAAGTTGCGCACGTTAAAGATCCCTTAGTGGTCTAAAATCGATAAGAGTAGGCTTTGGCCGTCACCTGGGGAAAATTCAAAATTTTCTACCAACTGAAAATATTAGAGGTGTCCCGCGCGCTCATATGACCTTATGCAGTTGCGAGCGCCGTAAAACACTTTACAAAAACAAAAAAAATATAATATAGTGTCTTGATGTCTTCAAGTGCAAAAATGCACTGGTTCACCAAGAAAGAAATTAGAAAAAATACAAATCGCTCACTGTGGACACACGGCTTCTTTGAATTCTTAAACGAACTAGTCTTACGAACTGTTCCACGTTTAATATTAATACGTTTTACCGCACGTACAATTTTGTTCCTGTAATTCTCTCACGCGTAACCATAATATGCAGATAGAAGGGTAGTTTCTATACAGATCAACTAAACTGAAAGTGAATTAATAATGTTTGTCGCTCGATTTCATGTGTTTTCACGTGTGTCTTCATGTGTTTAATTCTGTGATGCCAAAATGTAAACGTGTGTTGAGTCCGTTCATTCAGTGTGTCGGTGACACAGCGTGTCGGTGACACAGCGTGTCGGTTAGAGGTCACAGGGGTGTGTCCTTGATCAAAACACAATAACCGTTGTTCCATCTCATACTTGGGCGCTGTACAGTGGTGATCAGTAATGTTTCTATAATAATAATAATAATAATAATAAATAGCATTAGCGCATCTTGGGAAGCACACAGTGCAAGCAGCTGATTAAGCGCTCAAACACTAACAAACTGACAAGATCTTTCGTTGTCTATAGCCGGGTACCCATTCCCACCTGGGTGAAGTGAGGAAAATTCGTGTAAAGTGTCTTTCCCAAGGACACAACATCGGGTCCCTGACAGGATTCGAACCCACCACCTTACGGTTGCGAGTCCGAGAACCTAAATGTGGATTGTCTATATGATTATGTTATGAGTGTAATACTACGTTTTATTTGTTTGTTTAGGTAGTAATGATCTTTTGCATTCATATACGTCATCGCAAAGCAGAAATCCCGAGAGGACCAGTTAAGTGGAACTTATTTTATATAGAGCCCAACTTTAGAAAAAAAAAGCAAAAACAAGAAAAAAAAAAAAAATAAAAACCCCAACATTATAAGGGCTACTCTTTCTCGCTAGGGTAACTAGTCTCGACCTCAGTATCGATCTAACACTTCCAGAGCTTACATTATAGACCAAAACTGAACATAGTAGATTTTTCTGGAAAAAAAAAAAAGACTGGCAATTTTCGGTTTGGGCTCCAAGAAAATGTTAATACCGATGGTAACTTCGTATGAGTTAGGGATGGTATAGGTGTAGGCCAAGGAGTACTGTACAGAAGGACATGCACCACAGATTTCCAGCCTCTGCTGGCAAAGGCCATCGTACTGATAACTGTCGTGTTAACTACACTTACTATCATTGTTAACATAATACAGTACTCATTGGTGTAGGCTTAGGTTTATAGTAATCGTTAGACCTGGGGTAAAACCATACTATTATTGCAAAAGACTAAAGAATGCCAGTTAATTTCAGTTAAGTGGCTGCAAAATCCTTTTAGATATGAGTGATATGTTGTATCTAGATCGATGCGATGGATTGAGACTTCGCTCGACTCATTTCACCGCATCCGACATTCTGTAGGCTAGACCTAGATTCTATTAAAACTGCATGTGGCATGCGATCCACGCCTAATAATTGCCGCACGAGAAATCCTTTTAAATGTGAAGCCTCCAGCTACATGAAAGCGCTAAAAGTGCCCGAACCAATCAAAAGAGGAAATTAGTCAATGTATGGAAAACAAAGAAAAGACTTTAACCAAAATCAGTCATACATCGAATCACAGAACCAATGGATAGTCGCCCTCTGCCAGAAAAACAGAAAATAATCCAAGAGAGTCAGCCAAAACATACCTCCCCACATTAAAAGTAAGGCTGTTTCCACATCCGATCCGGACATTGGGGATTGCCTTGTTAGTGAGACAACTTTATGGGCCTTCGGCATATTGTGGTGGGGTGGCCAGTTCCTTCCCACGCCGCCTTTACTTCCCCAACTCGAAGCCAGGTACCGATTACTGCTGAGTGGGCAGGATGGGGCGAAAAAAAAAAATTCCGTGTTCGAACCTAGGCTCGAACCCGGAATTTCCGCTTCTTAGACTAGCGCACTAACCGCTCCGCCACCGCAGCCACATTACTTCTAAATAAACAACAACTACAAAATCTTTCAGAAACAAAAACAGAGCATTTTCAGACACAGTGACACTGATACGTGTATCACCTCAAACAATCAACAGCTATTCAGATGACGTGATACATGTCTGTACAGACGGCTCAGCATTCAGAGGCACAGCCAAAGCCAGATACAAAAATAATAAACGGATAGATGTTTCAATGAGATCTCTTCAGCCTGAGGAGAAAAATAATAATATTTATAGTAAACATTATACAGAAATCATGACAATTAAAAGAGCGCTGTACTACTGCCGCACAGTTTTTGACACTTATCCTTAAACACACACACACACACACACACAGAGAGAGAGAGAGAGAGAGAGAGAGAGAGAGAGAGAGAGAGAGAGAGAGAGAGAGTCTCGTTCCATCTGTTCCTGAACTGATCTCTCATTCATGCCCAGCCCATGCCAAGGTCTATGAGACACACAAGACCTTTACCTTCTGTAGGAGGTTATCTCTTTCCTTGTCTGCCACGACACCTCTTTACCTCCCCTCCTCCGACATACCTCCTCCTTACCTCCTCTTCTCCGCCATACCCTATCTTTACCTCCCCTCTTCCGCCATACCTCCTCCTTACCTCCCCTTCTTCCCCATACCACCTCTTTACCTCCCCTCCTTCGCCATACCTCCTCCTTACCTCCCCTCCTCCGCTTCACCTCGCCTTTCTCCTCCGAACCTCCCCATCTCCGTCTTACCTCCCCTCCTTCGCCATACCTCCTCCATACCTCCCCTCCTCCCTTTCATCTCTCCTTCTTCCTCCAAACCTACCCATCTCCATCTTAACCACACCCCCCCCCTCCCTCCTTTTTCACTTCTCTATACCCAGTGCTCACTGACAACCAGATTCGGTCGTACTGAGCTGGAGCCTGCCAACTGTCAATCTTTCCTTCATGAATGGTAAAAAGCTGCCATTTTGGCACAGCATGACCGAGATTCTACTAAATTCGACGATGATCTTCAAAATAAATTGCTCGTTTGTTTTTCTTGGACGATAGTCGAATCGGTCCTATTATGTCTAAATGGTAGGTAGATTTTGCCCATCCAAGAAGGTGGGTCTTCCTGGTCTCTAGTAAACCAGAAGAATTTGATAGGCAGCGTGCACTAATTATTATCTCCCTTTCCCCTTCGCTTTCCTACTCCCAACCACCTACTTTTTACCTCATTGC